AAAAAAAATCAGCAACTTCATTGTAGAAAGTAGCCAATTAACTCTTACCTGAATGACCGCAACGATTATTAGGACAACTCCTACAAGAAAAACATTATTATTAAGCCAAAGTTGAAGTTTTGGTAGGCAACCATCAGTATAAATAGTGTTTATTGAATCTTGTGCATGTTCCTGAAAATTGATTTGAGAAATGTACTAGCATATTATCCGATTAAAAGCACCTTCAATCGTACACCGTGCCCACAATAGAAATTCTTGAAGGCCATTTGGCTGCTGTTGAGACAGCATGAGAACGGCACGCCTCCTGCTTCTGGAGAGGATACCTAAAAATATTAAATGCAAAGATTAATATAAGTATAAACAATAGTAGAGAGATTTTAGATTGGCAATAGCCACAATTTCCACTGCGTATCTTGCTATATATGAGACCCGATCTAATAAGATACGAAGCTGTCATCGAAAATGGTGATTGATCGTTTTCTCGAAATAGTAGGAAAAGCCACATCAAGCTCTCTCCGAGATGCAATCCTTCAACGATCGAGACCTCATCGCTGTTTATGCTTATTACAAAACATACTTTTCCAGGTCCCTAACTCGAAGCTGAGATATATCAAATCATGGAATTCACAAAAAATACCTCACGAGCAGCAACAGCAAAATATGTGTTCCTATCCCAATCATCAGCTCCGTTTATGCCACAGCAATGCCACGACTCCTGCATTGTATCGATAAGGACTTGCAAATCTGGATCATCGCGATAACCCACTACCTAAAGTTTTATCCATCAAACAAGTATTCTATGTAGAAGACTGCTCCCATGAGGATGATCCAAATAAAGCCATTTGCGACAGTAGCAATAAGGATAAAATGATTCAAATACGATTCACCAATAGTTACAAAAATTTCGGTAGTGAACTGACCACGTCATTCAGTAAATTCCTAATGTAAGTGTCGAGCTGATCTCGACAAGCATAGGCAAACACAGCGCCAGCAAATTCTGCAATCAGTAACAGACCAAGCAATGACGAATAGAAAGTCAGAAATGAGGTATTCTCTCGAAGTGAACCAACACAGCCGCTAAATCCTGAAAAAGATGCAGGATTTTTGTAACACTCTAAACAGGAAATTGTTCAGTGGAAAGGTAAAATCCTTCAAAAGAAGGTCGAGCTTCAAAAAGCCTATTTGCACTGTGGCTGTATAAGATCATCAGAAACGCACCAGTTCATACACCCGTTGCCCAGTAACAATCTTAGCACTAATGCAGGAATTCGGTGAGTCACTTCAAATCTACCTCATTGGCTCTAATAAGAACTACTACATGTGTTACATGGTTTGAGGAAATCTGCTTTCTGGTCTTTTTGATTCCATGATGAGCTTATTGATACAAGACGAAGCAGTTGGAGAAGCGAAGATGGTACAAATAAAAAGCAGAGGAGCAACTATTTGTCACAAATTTCGAGACCAATATCGTTCCATAACCCTGATGTAAAAAAAATCTAAAGAATCTACGTATCCAGCGACTTTGCCTTGAAAAGAGCAAAACGGAAGATGAAGTGCTTATCCAGTCCACTTTGAGAGACACAAAGAGGTGTAAAAAACTCCTCATTGTTAACACAATTTTTATATATCATAGAGAGGTACGATGGAATTTGGAAGAGAGAAAACTAACCGATAATAAAGGTAACAAGACCAACAACGAGAAGGAGCCAAGTTGGATCCAGGTAGAGTTTGGAAGCCTGTAAGACAGATTAGTAAACGAATAAAGTTCTAGTAGATAAGGAACATTTACTTTATTCAAATGACTATATATGTTGTTCTTCTCTATCTGCGCCCACACACCAATCAGTAACAGCGCAAAGCCTATTAGAAAGAACATGACGTTAAAGCCAAACACGGAATATTTTACACAGCAGCTGATTTCGGTTTCTCCACCCGCTCCAGGAGCGTATCGTATTTGCTGTAAACAAAGCAATATGATGAAAAGCTAAAAAAAATTAACCGTATAGGAAAAGGCTTACCGAACTCCTGTAAATCCTCTGCGCAGCCGGCTGTCTTCCTCGAAGCCGCGGATTTGGGTTTGCCATAGCGGCTCCTTAAAGATAGATTTAACGTAAACATCTAGTTGCAAAAAGGGATACGACATGTGAGTAAGGACTTTCACAGGGGCATTAAAAAACTGAGTTGGTGAGAGAGCATTGAGGGCAAGGCGCAAAGAAGAAAACAAGATGCGGAAGCTGCGCCGTTTGCGCTTTCATTATAATCAAGGTGTACCTCGCGTAGCAACGTAGCCTCAAAACATGCGCCTCGATGTTTGTTTCTAAGGTTTTGCGAAACCTTCAGATATCTAGGCTCAGGTCTTGTCATCTTTTTGTG